GCAATAAAAAGGGGGGCTCGCCAAACTGTTATCGCAGTTCTGTCGCTACGGCGTGGATCTGTTGGCCAGGGCGGCAATAAAAGGGGGGCTTCGCCAAACTGTTATCGCAGTTATGTCGCTACGGCGTGGATCTGTTGGGCAGGGCGGCAATAAAAGGGGGGGGGGGGGGGTTCTTGAGCGGTACGCCCACCAAATCGTGCATTTAAAACACAACAGGGGTCGACTGTTCAGGAGGGGGGAGAAGTCATTTGTTGTGGGGTCCATGAAAAGTAATCGGGGGGAAACGGAACCTCAGGTGCACACCCACGCCGTGCTCAGCTAAAGCACGGGAGTTTCTTATTATTAATACATTTATTTGTAACATTTTTTTTATAAGTAATATCTTTTTTATTACCGAAATGTAATGCAAGCACTGTTCTCGGAGAACCAAGATTTTATTCGTGTTCGGTTCTGAACAATAATAAAAGAGAGTAACAATAAAATCTTTGGCTTAGAGAGCATTGCTTGCATCCCTATTAAAAGTGCACACCCCATACGAGGGTTATATATATATATACATATAAAAAAAAAAAAAAAATAAAAATAAAAAGAAAAACAAGAGAGACGATATAAAAGAAGCAAATTTATATAAAGATAAATAACAATATATAGATGGTCATTCAAGATAGTCAGAAAACATAGCGTCTGAAAAAAAGATTCAATTGAAATTTAAAGATTTTGAAATCTATATTCATTGAGTCACTCATATATTAGTTTGGGGAAAAAGAAATCCATTATTTTTATATGAACTTCATGACTTTATTTAACATGCTTCGGATTGTCCGATTTGGGTCAAATATGCACCGTTTTGTTGTATGATTTGTTCCCATTTTAAAGGTAACTTCAAAATGCCTCTCTCATAGAAGTCCTGGTCTCTATTTGTAAAAAACTCTAGTAGTCGTTTTTCACAATCCTCCCTAGATTCCAATTTTTTATCATTAAAGAAATTTTGCAATGCAAGAAAAAGATGATAATCGCTTGGTGCAAAGCCCGGACTGTATGGCAGATGCATTAAAACTTCCCAACCAAGCTCCCGAAGTTTCTGGCGAGTCACTGTAGATGTGTGTGGCCTAGCGTTGTCCCGGTGGAACACGACACCTCTCCTGTTGGCCAATTCTGGCCGTTTCTGGTCAATCGCTATCTTCAAACAGTCCAGTTATTGACAGTAGAGATCAGAATTTAGCGTTTGGCCATATGGAAGCAACTCATAATAAATAATCCCCTTCCAGTCCCACCAAATGCATAGCAAAACCTTCCTGGCCGTTTGAGGTGCTTCACCGCTCTTTGACCACGATCGTTTTCGCACAGGGTTATCGTATGTGATCCATTTCTCATCTCCAGTCACCATCCGTTTAAGAAATGGGTCTATTTCATTCCTTTTGGCCAAGGCTTAATTGGTGTGGCACCCAAACATCGCGCTTCTTTTTGAATCCAGCTTTGTGTAAATGGTCTAAAACTGTTTTATGGTCGATTTTTAGCTCCGGGACGATGTTACGACTGCTAACATGCCGATCAACTTCGATCATTTCTCCGATTTTATCGACATTTTCGACGACCGGCCTACCTGTGCGAGGTGCATCTTTAACATCAAAAATATATAATAATACAATTTCCTTAGAAAGAGGTAACATTTTTATCTAATGTTCGTATAGCGCTTTATAGCCGCTTGCCTGTTTAAATTTTGAAATAAAGGGGCCCAGTATGTGGGGATAGTACTGTCTTGGCTTTAGATTGCCAAACGGGAAAATTAGTCTATGAATGGGGTAAAAATTTGTAAGTTGTGTGCGTTTATCTACAACTTACACAAACGGTAAAATTTTATGCTTCCAGATTTTATATGCCCCATGGATTAAGTATAGATCAAGAAGATAATGTTTGGATTACTGATGTGGCTTTACACCAAGTCTTCAAGTTCGGGCCTCGTGGATTCCCGGAGAAGCCACTATTGGTTTTGGGTAAAGCTTTTAGCCCAGGAACAACAGACACTAAATTTTGTAAACCTACTGCTGTGGCGGTACTTGAAAGTGGTGATTTCTTTGTAGCTGTCTGTCTCATCGCACAGTTATCTCATTGCAGGAAGTAAGTTAGAATTTTGTTTTTTAATTTCAAATAAAGCTTCAGTAGCAGTACAGTCTAACAGAAAGTGAACAGAATCAGCAAAAGAAACCATCTGATAAAAACAAGCACAAGGTGAAGAAAATGAAATAAAAAAGCCGTCCACAACATGTTAGGAAAGTCAATCACGACAAATTAAGTAACAATGAACAAAACCTATATGCGTGCAAAGCAAATAATTGAACTTGCATTTAAGAACAATTAGAAAATCACTGACGTGAAGCTGAACCACTGTGCGTTAGCTCACATTATTGCCTTTGCTCAAAGGTGGTCTACATACTTGGCGAAAATTTACAGTATACAAGGTATGTTATTTCATTACTATGCTCAAAATTTATCATACACCGCCCAAATGCCCCACGTATATTCTCCCCAAATACATACGACACTAAATTAATTATAACAAACAGGAGAATATAGTCGGGCAAGGTTAACCACTACAACACTTTGTTTAACACAATTCGTATTTTTATTATAGAACACAGAAATTATATCTTGTTTCTAAATAAAGGCAATCTTGTGATGTGCCTACTTCTGGGGAAGCGGGCCCAAAACGCAACCTAATGTAGTATAAGTTTATTACTTACATAGGGCGAAATCCAAAAGAAGGGCCGAGAAGGTCCAAAATTGGCACAGTCAATTTTTTATGGTTAATTACTACTTTTTGTCATATGAACTTCAGTGTTCGTTATATGAGAAGGGGTCAAAAATTGCCCCAGTCGGTCCAAAGTTTTTATACCAATTTGGAACCTCGGAATAATGCTATTTAGCCAATTTTGGCGAGACTTTTCAGAACAGAGTGAATAGGGAGAATAGGGAGTAGTTAAAAAAGTAGAGGGAGTAGATCTAAACCATTTTCAATAGCGTTCGTCCTTGGGTGAAAACACGTTACTGTGTTCAATTACATCGAAGTAAAGCAAAAATTGCGACCTGTAGTTTGAACACAAATTTACATTGGCAAACACAGGACCACAGGACATTTGGATCACGTAGGTCCATTTTTTGGATACCACATACGGAGATTGTCGTGAAACGAAAACTCTGATTTGTTAAATAAGCCTAATTGTTGATTTTCTCTGATGACATTCTTTTCATGATAGTAATTAAATAAAAAAATTAACTGGACTTCGTTAAAACCACATCTGTCTATTTCCTGGCCCCACTTTATATAAGTTATATCATGAATAGTAAGCCCTTCCGAAAAGGTTTACTATTTTTAATGTTATATGATGAAAACTAATTCAAGGTAGCGTGTCAGAAAAAAAAACTGTCGCGAATTTGGATCACGTAGTTCTATTTTTTTCGTAGCCCAATATATATGGACCCTATCAGGAAGCGCAAGCTCTTATATGGAAAGAAAATTTAACTTTCCAATATGCGAGCTTTGATGAACACTTCGAACGAACAATTAACTGCATTCGGTGAATTGGCGTAGGGTATGTAGTGGTCAGCGCTGCCCGACTATAATGTTCCTGCTTTTTTGTAATTAATGTAGTATTACAATACGTACATGGGAAAGGCATATTTGGGATGATTTTGCCGGTGATAAATCCTGGATATGGTAAAAAATTAAGCTTTTCTTATAGGCTTCAGCGTCTTTTAAGACACATCAAAAATCGACAGTTGCGTAATGTATGGAAAAATAGTTATACGTCGATTTGCATATTGCATGCCGTCGGTGTTGTAACTGTGCATGACAGTTAGCGGCAAAGACTTATTTGTTTTGGTTTTGTGATCATCACTGAAGGCTTACTTTGTTTGTGTACTTAGCAAATATTTTTTAATATTGATACTTGGTTTGGTTGTTTTTTGTTTTTTTTATTTCACGTTACACCTTCAATTAGCAAAGACAAAGAAATTAAAATGTGGGCTACCTTGCTGGGCTACCTTTGCTTCGGTTAAAATTGTCTGCAACCTTTGTGGAATGAACCGACTAACAATTAATTGCTTTAATGATGTTTTGATCTTCATTCATTTTCATTGCATATGATTTAGAGCGTTTCTGGCTTTGTGACCGCTGACTGGTCATAACAGAAAGTCATTTATTTTCTGGTTATAGTTTTCTAGACTATGCATCAATTTTGGTATTCCGAAGGGATAGTTGCAATGAAACGCTCCATACCAATTTTGTAATAAGGCGAGCGGTTAAGCGTTATATGAACGAAAACGCAAACAAGAAAATGCCTTGCCAAGCCAAAGCTTCTGTGATGTTACTCACAATATTGTTATTAATTTCATTAGCTTTCGTTTTACTTCATTTCGTTCGGCACTTTGGGTTGCATCATTTCATTCCATTCAAAGCATTTTCTCCTTCCATTCGTTTCATTTCAATTATTTATGATTCTTCTTCTTCTTCTTGAAAAATTGGGCAAGTCAACAACAAATAATTCACTCTGCTGAGTAAAATCTTTAAATTAAGAAAGAAAAAAAAACCATTTATTATTAGTTTTAATATTAATTGTAAGTGTAGTCCGTAAGGCGCTTTTAATAAAGACGCATGTGCACAGGCGATACTTTATAGAATTGCACAATTAATGGGGTGATAAGAAAAGCAATAAACTTGCAACGGAAAGCGAGAGAAAGAATTTTTAATTTATTTAAGAAGAGAAAGTTTTCAATGTTAAGACGTTTCTGTGCAACATCGAACGCCATTAATCGTGAAGATTGTGAGAGATTGAGTTTAGAAAAGATCAAAATGTATTCGAAAAGATATGATCATAAAAAACAACACAACAAACAACAAAGTTTACCCGGTTTCATATTTCAGTCAAAGGAGTGACGCTGTCGCAAGTAAGTTGAACAAGTTGTAATACATCACTCAATAAGTCCGTAGGTTAACATATAGGTGTCGTTGTGAATCGATGATTTTAAAACGTTAACCAACCTTCAAAATGGACAACGATTCATTATACTCCGACTATTACTTTAGGAGTTACAGTTAATGGAGAAATCTGAATTCCATATGTAAAGGGTACGAACTTATTGCTTGATGCGTTTGTTATGCATCTCATTATTTTCTTATAATTTAATCGATGTTTTTTATGAGCGATAAAACTCTCTCGAAAGTAAACATCAGCATCAATAGGTATTAAGTCAACATACATGTACATAATATCTAATAAAATTTCCTGCTTTAATTTAATTAAGGTCGTACTAATGTCCGATCAATAAATCGTAAAGATACGCTATAAGGAAAAAGCAAGTAAGAAAATTATATTCGGTCGTGACCGAATCTTCTATACCCATTACTGTTGTCTTAAAAAAGAGCTAAAGAAAAAAAATGGAAAGAACTAAGTTTCCTAAATTTGTGGGCGCTGTGGGCGTGTTTTCGACTGATTTCCATCTTGTAGGTGATATCTTCAGGGAGAGTGCTTACCACAATATTACATAGTTGAGAAGATGGACACATGGACAGACGAGCAAACGGACATGCTTAGATGCATTCCGAGTTCTAATCTGGCCATGATTTTATATATCTTACGGGGTTTTTGAAACCTGTTTCGGTGCGTTATGAAGGTTTTGGAAAAAAATTGAAATTTGATACACTGAGTAGGCATGGTCAATTTTCCCCAAATTTTTGTGCAGATACTGCAGCATCGCCCACAGTACATATGTGCGAATTTTTGTAAATTTATCTCCTGTAATTTATAAGTAACGAACATAAAATCAATTTTTCCTTCCTCTTGAAAAGCAGAGATGTACTGTGCTGTGTAGGCGTATCCTGTGAACGATTTCACTCATTTTCCATACCAACCGGCATGTATGAACGTTCAATGTTTCAGCTTAGCTTCAGCGATAGCTTTATTTTTTCGTCCAGGGGAATGTTTACATTAGACATTACAGAGACGGACAAACGGACGGACGAACAAGCTTACATCGATTTAGAATCTGATGCCTCTTGCAATTTCTGCAGGTTCACTCTGCGCGTTGCAAACATTTCGATGAACTAAATTTTCCTCTCATCCTACTGCGATGGGTATAAAAAAGTTTGTTTGAAACGTTTTCCTTACAGTGCGACAGAGATAGTCTCGAGCCGTATGTAAACATTTCACTTTTCCGCATTTCATTTCGCTTTCATTTGTATACACATCCAACAACAAACAGAAATATTCATGCAATACAAGTGACGTTTGCCACATGCTAGGCTTTAATGTACCCAGCAGGAGATTTCTTTAATTTTTCAACTTTTTATAAGATTCGCTGTTCTCCTTCCATTTCTCTCTCATTTTTTATTTTATTTTATTTTTTTTTTTTTTATTTCTTTAACGCATGCACAAGTACATGTGGTTATGTTTTCTTTCCAAAGTTACATTACAATACACGATTCTTTTAAATTTAACATCCAGATGAGGGTTTTTGTTTCAATTTATGCAAATTGTGGCAAATTTTCCGAAAAAGTCGCTTAATTGAGTTTTAAAGCAAAAACAAAATAAATAGAGAAAGGGGAATAAATACGTTTCCATAGATAGATATGATGATGCCGGAAAAGTCATGGCACGTTTTGGCAACTAAAAGTGCTGCCTCATTTTGGCGACTTTAATGGCATTCATATTTGTTCTACTTTGCACATTCCTATTATGACATCATGTCGTCTTATTTTATTTCAAAAGCAACTTTTACTTTTACGGATTGATTGCATTACTAAACGAATGGAAGACGAAAAAAACCTTCACAAAGGCGGGAATATTCATTAAAGACTTTTGCGACAACCTCATAGTATTCGAGGAAATAATGGCTGCGGGAGCGAAAAAGTTCGTCCTAGTACGTAGTGCGTCGATTTGTTTTCTTTTAATTTTTATGTAACTAAATGGATTTTAAAGTGTAGTAAACTTGTGACTCTATTTATAACATATTGTCTTAAATTCACGTTTAATATACGGAACAAGCAAGTGTTGATGAAGTTGCGGAACATGAATTCGTTTCTCACTCTTGCTCTTCACAGTTTAAGGGTATAAATCGACCTT